GGGTTTGAGGAACTGCTAGGAATCCAGTAGAGTGCATGCTAGTTCCGGTTACTGACATGGGAAGCCTGAGGAAGAACTGATTTCTCCAGAAGGGAAATCAAGAGGCCAGTTTTGTTCAAACTGTGTTTGAAATGTGAAACATCCAGATAGACAAGCAACCATTTGAACACATGAGAATGAAGCATTATTTAGTTTTTTGGGTTTTTTTTGTTCTTTTTTTTTTTGTATTTTCAACCTACTTTCATAGATAGAAACTGAGGACACTCCACAAATTTGTTCTGAATTGCCTTTAATGGAAAAACCATTTCTAATTTCTGCTAGATGTATGAAAGTCCCCTGGGCCAGCTGAGCTTCTCTTGGAGAGTCCAGTCAACATCATTTAAAGGGTCTTAGCATGCCTTTGGGTAGCACTATGCTTTACTTCATTCTAAGATGTGCTTTAAAGAGAGTTGAGAAGGTCAAGCAAGTTACACATTGCTATTTGTCATTAACTCATGTTTCAATTTGTCACGTTTCAATTTGCATTAATTTTGAATGATTTTCAGCTGACTCAGTGCAGTTTCTGGTTTCTGCTTCTGCCTCTCTTATTTTTCCTCATCTGGTGTCTTCGTGAATCAGCCTTGACTATGTCAAACAAACAACAACAAAAACATTTAATTCACCTTGTGACAGATGATTGTGGGGTGCTGGGGCAGTCTCTTAGACAGTGCAGGAATAGGTAGTCTCCTCCCTAATTTTCAAAAGTTGAAGGTAAAAACAGTAAGAGAGGAGGCCAAGTCAGAGGAGTGGTTTGAGGTCTGGTAGCCAGGAAAGCTGCATTAATTAACACCGATGATCATAGTCAAGAACTGTTCCCAGGCAGCACTGGGCTCTACATGGGTGGGGATGGGGGCAGCAGGGAATGTTTTTCACTGCGGCTGCATCTCCCGGGGAAGGATGTGCCAAGTAAGTCCAGCATGGCCACTTATTCCACTCAGATTCATTCTCCATCACCACGGGTGGAATGAAATAGTTTTTCTCAGACAAGAATGAAGAAAGGGTATTCTCTCAAAGGCAATGGAAACATTCACCATGAATGAATTCATTAACTGGTGCTATGTTTGAATTTTTACGTACTGGATTTTCAGTAAGTAGGGCACCACTAAATTCCACTAACAGACCTCAAGTTACTTCTGCCCCTTACTAGCTGTGTAATTGGGGGAAAGTCCCTTGACCAAAGTTTCTCATTTGTAAAAATGAGACTAGTACCCACCTTGTGAGATCACTCAGATGCCATACCTATTGTTCTGCCTGGAACAAAATAAGCACCTGATAAAGGGTCACTGCTACTACAGGTTAGATAACCTTTGAGGTGCTGGGAATATAGATAAAAGTCATAATCTTACCATCTAGAACCCTTAAAGGCCAGTAGGGAGTTATGCTATATTTTGGATCTTAAGTGTTTCCCCAAAGGTCCATGTGTTAAAGGCTTAGTTCCCAGGTTAGTGCTACTGGAAAGTGGTAAAAACTTCCAAGAGTTGGAGCTTAATGGGAGGTCGTGAAGTTTTTGGGGACAGGCCCTTGATGGTAAAACCCCCCAACCCCTTCCTTTTTCTGTTTCACTTTTCAGCCATGAGGTGAGCAATTTTGCTATGCCACATGTTCCCACCACGATGTGCTGCTGGCCACAGGCCCCAAAGCATGGTGCACGGTCTGGAGTCTCCAAAACTGTGAGACAAAATAACTTTTTCGCTCATGAATTGTCGCAGGTATTTGTTACAATAATGGAAAGTTAACACAATGTAGAAATAAAAAACATTAAAATAGGCTGGGGTGATGTAACACAGGGATAGGGCCTGTGCTTAGCATGTACAAAGTTCTCGAAAACACACACATACACACAAAATGCATTACAATGTGAGCTGTGGAGTAGCTCAGGTGGTAGAGCTCCTGCTTAGCAAGTTCCAGGCCCTAAGTTCAAATCCCAGTACAGTCAATAAATGAAAATAGTAGCTCAACAGTAAAGGATGCTTATCTGCCCAAACAAAAAGCAGTGCAATATGTGTGCAGTAGGGATACCTGCTACTGATTATACTTTAATGAGACTATGTCTATGTAGGCTCGTACCAAAAACTCGTCTTGGAATCATTGGGCTTCCCATACACTTATTGGGAAGTGAGGTAAGTAGCTTCAATTGTTCTTCAAGAAAGATATGAAAATATTCTGGGGCTGTAGCTCACCGGTGGAGCACTTACCTAGCATGGGTAAGGCCCTCTACCTGATCTCCAGCACCACAGAAATAAAAATAAACCCCCTATGTTTTTAGTAATTGCCAATGAAAAATAGGAGAATAGTTCTATGATATCCAGGTGGTGAAAGCTGGTCAAGCCCTGATTTGGCACTGTTGTGGTAAATCAGGTAGGTAGCTGCATGTGGGAACAGAAAGAATTGATCCCTTTGGAATGTGACACCTGGAGCCTAGCCTGCACAGCCTCAGGGCTCTAGGATCAGGGTGTCACTGAGCAGGCTGGAAAAATCCCACTGTCACCCAGATACTGACATTTGTGCTGATGCAATGGTGCCATTTGCCCTCTGAGGACAATGCTTTATCGCCACTTACCTTACATTCTCTGCTACACAGCTTTGCCTTGCCCCTGAACAACTTCACACACGCTCAGCAGTCAGCACCTCGGCATTCCGCAGCTAGCTGTAGCTCGTGCGTCTCTTTGCCTCATCAAGGTGAGGGGATTTGGCCAGGAGCCCTTCCTGTGAGAAAGCCCTGGAATGTGGGCACCTAACCCAGAAAATTAGCTGAATGTCTGCCAGGAATCAGGGACACATGGCCTGTTTTGCCACACTCACCTGTCTGTCTCTGTCTTTAGACTGAGCCACTCCTTTCAATCCCTCCCATGGCCAGCAGGCCTCCCTTGCAGCTGCTTTTAAGCAAGGCAAATCTTGTATACATAAAGGAGAGGTGGCTTTCTGGTTACTACTGCTTTAGAAGGCCTCAAACACTTGTAGTCCAGGGAGGAACTGGGAGGCATAATAGCTGCACCCCAAACAGTGTAGGAGACATCTGGCTACACTAGAGCATGCATAAGTGACAGCATGAAGGAAGAAGTATCCTGTAGGGGGAGGTGTTAAGAAAGACAGCAAAGTCTTCCTGACAGGTTTTGGAAATAGGAGTAGGACTTTACAAGGAGAGAATGGAGCAAGGGAATTATAGACAGTAGGAACACAGTCAGCAGCTTTACTAACATGTAACATAGCCCGGTACTATTGGACTCAAAGTAGGCTTGTCCACTTTGCCACAGACTGTTCTGGCAGATTAACTTCTAACACTACAGAGTACAGACTTAATATATTGCAGATGCATGGAAAATACCTGGCACGTGATTAGTACTACTTGTTCATTTTTTAAATTAGAGGCTGGGTGTAAACTTCAGGTAACTAAGTAGCTTAGCTTTTCTAAAAAAGTTTATTAGCATAAATTAATTGTGCAAATGGGTTTCATTGTGATATTTATATATATGTATGTAATGTACTTTAAGTTCATCCTGTCTATATTTTCATGCATATATACATATAGATAAATAGATGATATTCGATCCCCATCACTTTTCTCCCAAAGTCCCCCTTTTATAATCATGTCATATCATTATTATTTTTAGGTCTAGATTTTGCATATGAGAGAAAGCATGCAATATTTGTGTTTCTGAACTTGGTTTATCTTGCTCAACATGGTAATCTCCAGTTTGATCCATTTTCCTGCAAATGACATAATTTCATTCTTTATGACTGAATAAAATTCCATTGTGTATACATACCACATTTTCTTTATCTGTTGGGGACCTAGGCTGATTCCATAAGTTGGCTCTTATGAATAGTGCTGCTATAAACGTAGGTGGACATGTATCTCTATTGAATGTTGACTTATATTCCTTATATTCCCAGGAGTGGTATAGCAAGATCATGCAGTAGTTCTAATTTTAGTTTCTTGAGGAACCTCCATACTGATTTCCAAAGTGTTTAATTTACAACCCATCATAGTGTATGTTCTTTTATTGATGGTAGCCATTCTGAGATGGAATCTCAGTGTTATTTTGATTTGCATTTCCTTTTAGCCAGGGATCTTGAGCATTTCTTCATGTATTTATTAGCCATTTGTATTTCCTTTGAGAACTGTCTGTTCAATTCCTGTTTGACTTTTCTTCTTATAAGAAGTAAACATATTTCTCAAGCCTAACCAACCACCCTTTCCTGCATCTAGTCTTGCCCACCCCAACCTTCATCCTGCAAAACTCCTAAACACTCTACTTCAAAAGTTCAACATTTTATGAGGTCAATCCAAGGTGCAGCACAAAACCAGGGCGTCCAAGTTGAAAAGGCATTGCAGGGCAAGCACAATGTTAGACACTTTTGTTCTGAGGGTATCTATAGGCAAACGATATCTTAAAACAAAGTTTTCAAAGCTTAAAAACAAATCCACTTTGACCCCCTAAGAATATTCTCTGTAGTAGGTCCTCAGGACTGTGGCACTGAGAATCTGCGGAGAAGGGCGGAATCCAGCTAGGTGTGGCAGAACTGCCACGTAACTAGAGGCGCTGGGGCTGATTTGACATGAAAGAAAGGCTAAGAGCAGAGAAAGACGTGTCTGGATATTGGGGCCGGAGGCTCAGTAGGAAGCATAAGTAGTGGCCGTGCTGTCCTGGGTCGGTGGGGCAATGCGAGGAAAGGGGGATGCCGGCGGGGGAAAAGCGGCCGGCGCTGGGTACCTGCCGGGAGAGGCTGGTCCAATGGGCGGAGCGCGCGAGCCGCACCTCAACCTGCCCGACACGTCACGACGCCGAGGCGGACGCCGGGCCAATGGGAGGCCGCCGGGCCCGAGGGCGGGGCCTGGCAGGAGTTGGGGCAGGGCCGCGCTGAGGCAGTTGGAGGAGTCGTGCGGCGGCCGCGGGAGAACGCTGCTATCGAGTCGGCGGCCGCGGACCAGGGCCTGGCCTGGCCTCAGCCTCTTGCCGGTCTCTCCTACCTCCCGCATGGTGCGGGCTAGTGTCTGAGCCGCGGCGAGGCGAGACGGTCGCGCCGCCTCGGGAGATCAGGGTCGGAGCTTCCCGTCGCCGGCACTTCCTCTTGCAGCGCCCGTGCGCGGCTGGCTCGGCGGGCGGGCGGGATGGCGGCCGCGGCCCGGGGGAGCGGCCGAGCATCGGCGCCGCGGCTGCTTCTGCTGCTGCTGGTTCCGCTGCTGTGGGGCCCGGCCGGCGTCTGGGCCGGCCCGGAGGAAGACCTTAGCCACCGGAACAAGGAGCCGCCGGCGCCTGCCCAGCAGCTGCAGCCACAGCCCGCAGCCGAGCAGGGCCCCGAGCCGGCCCGGGCGGAGGTGAGCGGGCCGGGCCAGGCAGGCGGGGATGGGACGGGCGAAGCTTCGGAGCCGGCTGCGCCGGGTACCAGGCTCGGGCCGCCCAGAGCGCCGCCCTCTGGGCGCCTGCTGGGGGAGGGGAGCCGGCCCCTGCGCGCCGGGAGAAGGGCGACCCGGTGAGGCCGGCCTCGTCCAGCTGCTTGTGGGGGCAGGGAAAGGGAGAGCCCCGCTGGGAGTGTGCCGGGGACCTTGGGTTCCTGGGGACAGGATGCTGCTCCGGAGCGGGCGTCCCAGCCATCAGATGCGTCTGCTGGGAATCCCAGGAATACTCATGCAACTAGAAAGTTTTTTAGCACAGGGCAGCTGGGAGACTTTCAGTATTCCCCGGGATGATCACATCGGCCATTTCACTGATGGAAAAGCGCATCTAAAACTGCTTAGCCAAATTCGGCTCGGCACACCCTGTGGGTTTTGCCAAATACAACACAAATGGGTTACGCACGGCGACTCTTCACTTTTTAAAACGTGCTTTGGCTTGCAGGAAGTAGCCCTTACTTAGGCAGGCAGAGGAACAGTCAGTCTTTGACAGTACAGTGTTGCAGGGCTGGGGGATGCCAAAACAAATTTATAAGTAAATCAGAATTCTGTATTTTGTTTGACCTTCACTAAATCAATTTAAATTAGCTTCTTAATCTTTGTTAATAGGGACACTCCTTTCTTAGTCACTTGGCAGCACTCTACAATTTCTTCTCCCTCTCAGTCTTGAGTTCTCTCTCCATTTCCAATTTTGACTCCTAAATTCTGGATTTCTTTAGTCTTTTCTAGTAGTGAACAGTTTGATGTTCCACCCGCTACATCCAGTATGCCTCCTGCAGATGTTCATCCAAATAATCAGCCTAAACATCGAATTCCACCATCTTGTCAGAGATCGTCAGTGAGCTACCCTGGTATAGTATTTCAGTCCAGCCTGTAGCAGGGTGGACATTCAGGTTTCTTCATGATCTGGCTTCAGCTAAGCCCAGGGCTTTTTACCAAGCCACCACTCCCTTCTCACGTATTACATACTCTTAAAAGAAAAAGTCCTTCAAGAACTCTCTGACATACCATGTGCTCTCTTGCCAGTCTCTCCCAAACAAAAGACCTCCCTAACACACTCAGACCTTGAAGCCCCCAGGTTAAAACCCTTACCACGTTAAGAACCAGTGAATACCTACTCTCTGGAGTGGAGCCTTCCCCTAAATTTCCTTGTTTAAAGGATATCTTTTCTCTTGAATAATGTGACTTTTCATTCCCATGGAAATTTCTTAAGAGGGTGATTTTTGGTTTCACACAGCTAGAACTTTCTACGAATCAGACTTGTCCAGAATGTAGTAATGGATCTTGAGAAATAATGAAATTCCCCTTACTGGAAGTACTCAGGAAAAAGTTGAGTAACTGGCCCCTAGGAAGAGACTTAGTTATGGAGAAGTTAAGATTCTGTGAGCTGATTTCATCCTCACAACAGCCCACTAAGCAGGTAGAGCAGGTGCCATATCCTGTTCATAAATGGGGAAACAGGTTTGGAAGTGATGGTTTGATATCCAGAGCTAGAAGACAGTTCTCAGCAGGACCAGAACTAGAATCCAGATCCCCGAAATTTTAGCATTCATTGTATCATATAATGGTACGATGGTGGTACTGGGGGCTGGGAATCAAATTCAGGGCTTCACCAGGCAGGCACTCTGCCTCCTGACCATGCTTCAGCCCTTTTTGCATTGGTTATTTTTGAGATAAGGTCTTACTTTATGCCTGGGTTGGCCTGGACAGCAGTCCTCCTATTTATGCTTCCCACAAAGCTAGGATGACAGGTGCCCATTGAGGTGGGGGTCCTGTGAACTTTTTGCCTGGGCTGGCCTTGAACCCACATACTTCCCATCCCTACTTCCAGGTAACTAGGATTGTAGAAAAGAGTCACCATACCCAGCCATAACTTTAAAGCATTTGTTTAGTAATGATTTTTTTTTTTTGGCAGTGCTGAGGTTTGAACTCAGGGCCTTACACTTACTAGGGAGGTGCTCTACCACTTGAGCCATGCCTCCAGCCCTTTTTTATGATGGGCTTATTTCAAGGTAGGATCTCCTGAACTAATAGCCCAGGGCTGGCTTCGAATGGCGATCCTCCTGATCTCTGCCTCCTGAGTAGCTAAAATTACAGGTGTGAGCCCAGTGCCTGGTTTATTAATGATTTTAATGGTTGAAGTCTTTGATTCTGATACCTAACTTTCCCTTGCCCATTTTTGGTGGACCTTAACATTTTGTTTCTGTCTGTGGTTTATTTCTGTCTATGGCTGTATTTACTCCTGCTGCCTTGGGTTCTTATAACTTGTACACTGTTTTGTCTGCCTTTCTTACCTTTAAATAATGTTCTGAGAATGAAATACTTGTATCTTTAGTTTCTACCACTTATTAAATGTCTTTATGGAAAAACTGGCTGTAAAAATGAACTCAAACAAAAAACTATTTGCAATAGTATTCATCCATTCTTTTTCTTCTTCTTCCTTCTCTTTTTCTGATTCACTAAACGAAACTGAGAAAAACTAGACTTTTATCATCTGGTGCCTGCAGTGTGACTCTCTCCATTCATGGGTTGATACTAGTTTAGAAATTTAGTTGCAACTGATTATACAGCTGTTAATTCTAGACTTTTGCAAAGTTAAAAAAAGGGAAGAAGAAAAAGAAGCACTGAACTCAAGAGTTATAAATGTCTCATGATAACAGTATGGTACCAATCAGGCCAGAGGTTTACCAGAAGCTTGGGTCTTTTACCATAAGGAGAAGCCAGGGGCTCCAACTGGCAGCTGGGGGTTGAGGGACTGGAGAGTGGGCTTCTGCCCACCAGGCCTCCCCTAGCCAAGGTCAGAGTGGGGCTCCCATTCAGACAGTCACATTGTCAATTTCTGGCTGAACTTTTCCTGCTCCACACATCCACATCTGAAATTGAACTGAAATGCTGATTTGTGAACTTTAGTATTCATCATTTAGCCTGCTACTTAACTGAGTATCAGGAGTTTATTTTAAAACAATAACTATTTGGGGTAAAGGAACTGTGACATTTATGAATGTGTAACTTTCTAGGCATTTCATTGAAGTTTTAGTTCTCTTTCAGAAATAGTGGTAGTTATAGATACTAATAATCCTTTTTAGGAAGTTGGAAATAAAATCTAGGCATGCAAAGTAAAGGCAACAGTGGTAGAAACAGTGTGTAATGACTACATTAAGTGGTCTAAAAGGTCCTTGTCCTTAAAACTAAAGGTGTGGAGAGAAGAGGCTGGTACAATATGATTTTTCCCTTTAATAATTCCATTTATTTTATGCGGTTCTTTAATATTTATATGTTTATTTTTGGTTGTACTGGGGTTTGAACTAGGGGCCTTGTGCTTGAAGGCAAGCCTTCACTTGAGCCACGACCTCAGCCCTTTTTGGTGGGCACTGGGGGTTGAACTCAGGTCTCATGACTGGGCCAGGCAGGTGCTCTACAACTTAAACCACACTGCCAGCCCTATTCCAATATCCTATATGTTGTAGCAGAATATAATTGTCTCATTTTAATTACACTTTATATAATTTTTTGATGTGGCTCATTTTTTTTTAACTTTATTTTCTTTCACACATTTTCTAAACTACTTGTCATTTGCTTGGGTTCAATGACATAAGAAATGATGAAAGTACGGTTTAATAGCTATAAAAGCAAAGGCTCAGCTGTGCTGAATATCTCAGTTTCAGCTGATGTGCTTTGCAACTGCATGCAGATTTTTGTTTTTAAACATCCTTTTAAATTTAACCTTTTGATACCAGTGTGTGAGAGTGGGTTTCTGAAAATGGAGGGACCATTGCGTCTTCATGGGCAGAAATTTAGGTGGAAGATATATTATGAACATGTAGCTGATCTTACTGGGCACTTTCAAGGGAAGTGGCTGAACTTCCACACCCGGCTCTCCGCAAGCATTTGGTATGTTTTTTCTCTATAATTTGGTTAAAAAGTTGGAGAAACTCAGTTAGCTTATGGTCATGAATAAACCCCAATTTACAAACCCATGAGAAAAAGTGCCATTGATCACTTGGAGCCTTTCTTTTATACTCTTTGTGTTTGGTGACCTTCTTAGTTGACTTTTTTTTTCTTATTTCTTCTCTGGGCAGGTGATATATCTATATCTATTTATTTATATACACAGCTATAAAGCATAAGTCCCTTAGTTGGGGGAGATCAGTTAGATTAAAGTCATTAATAATTTACTTCATATTCTGGAAGCTTAAAGAACAACTATTCTGGTTGCATAGCACTGTTGGTAAAGTCACAAAATCCTATTACCTGACTCAGCACAGGTTCTTGGTTCCTTATTTTTTGGCATTTCCCCTTCCACAGAATATTTAAGTAGGTTGCAGTCCTACTCCATCCTGTCCAATCTCCTGATTCTTGCCTCTCCACAGCTAAGATTAAGACCATCAGCTATGAGGACTCATTTACTCATAATGACCTCCTCTAAATGAAATGATTATTATGATACTCAGTTTACATGGTGGTATTCTATCATAAAATAATTCATTAAGAAAAATCAGTGAAACAATGTAATACATTTCAGACGTGTAAATTTATATATACATTATGAAACAATAACAAAGTTGCTTAAATGTTTAATAAATTAAAAAGTGAAAAAATAATTTTAAAATATATTTTAATATGAATTCACATGTAACATTATTAAAAATAAAGTATTTTAAAAACAACTAAGTCATCAACAAATACAAAGACATAATAATGAATATTTACAATAAAAGTTATGTCTTTAATTTTTAGGCAGTCTTTTAAAACAGGTTTGTCCATTGTCTAAGTTATGCATGTATGTATGTGTGTCTTTTCTTTTTTGGTGCTTGCCTCCCAGATGCTAGGCAAGAGCTTTACCACTAAACTACATCCCAGCCCCAAATTACATGTATTTATTTTTGTGCATTTTTATAATGTCTGGAAAAGGCTTTTCTGACTTT